TGCCGACAAAATGTTCAACACCTTTTGTCCCTCCGGTTGCATTTACATTTTTATTTTTTTGTCAAGCAAAGGAGCTCCTGGAAATTTTCTGGAACAGTGCCACAGAATATGACACACTGCCCTAATTGGTGCACTGTCTTTAAACTGCCCCCACAGTCTTAACAGGTTATTTATTACCATTTTAATGTGAGTTTCTGTTTAAGAACTCTAAATTATTACTCACTCTACATACTTATAATAATAATAATAATAATAATAATGCATTGAACTTATATAGCGCTTTTCAAGACACCCAAAGACGCTTTTTCACACACACTCACATTCACACACTGCTAGTGATGGTAAGCTACTTATGGCCACAGCCGCCCTGGGGAGGTCTGACAGAGGCGAGGCCCCTCTGACCACCACTAACACAGGCAAGTTGGGTTAAGTGTCTTGCCCAAGGACACAACAGCAGAATACCCCTGGCTGGAGCTGGAATCGAGCCCATGACCCTCCGATCATGAGGCAACCCGCTCTACCACCTGAGCTACTGCTGCCCCAAGAGTTCATGTTCGACATGTAATTTAATTTAATTTAATTTAATTTAATTTAATTTAATTTAATCATACAGTGCCAAATTCAGTGGTGGCTTGTCCATAGGCACTGCCCCACCTGTCTCACAAGAAGAAGACAGGAATCACTAAATAAAAAAACTAGAAAATTAAATGGAACACTATACATCATATAGATTATGTATGCTGTGTATAATTTAGGTGTAGTTAAAATTTTCCCACTTTTCCCACGACTGAATTGTCTTGCGACACATTTCCTGTTACTTTTGGGGGCAGTGATTTTTACCATAGAGCTATCCTACCATGTGCGCCGGATCCCCCTCCAATACAGAGAACAGGAGCGCCTTTGGGTGCAGAGGTTTGCGACCAAAGCTGGGTGGAGTCTCAGCTCAGATCAGGATGTTCATTCAGAACCAGACGCTCTCCACAATTCACCTTTCCTTTGTTTGAACTCACTGTTTTCTGTGTGAGTACACGCTGTGGAGATCTGTTGCCTCATCATCTGCCCATGCCAACCAGCCCCCACTTGTGATGAGATAGTTCTGTGCCAAATTAGACGTGGTAGTCTGAGGATGTGTAGGGGTGAACTGTCTTTTGTTTTTAAGCCCAGCTTTCTCCTGTTTTTAGTTGATGAAGATGGTAAGTTTGTTTGTCATTTGGTTCATTAATTTTGTACCACCTGGGTAATTTAAGTTAGTGGTGTTTTTTTTTATTGTTTTAGCCATTAGTTCACCCTCAGCTTTTGCTCCGCCCTCGCCTTTAGTTGATGAATTGAGTTCTTAGTTTGTTTTTTATTGTAAATAAATCCTTGGGCGTGACTGCTCTGTGGTGAATGGGTGAATCAAAACCTTCACATTATGGCCTGGCCCCTCCTAGATTGGTTGTAACAAAGTGTGAAGGTTTATAAAACAGCATTGCTCTGGTTTTTCACCCATTCACACAAGCCTTTTGAATAGCTCGTCAAGTTGGTTAATCATCAATAGTTCTTCTTCAAGGGCCAGCAAGACCACACAGTTCATTTCTGCATCATCTATCATTTAGCAGGTTTTCAAATGGTTAGAGGAATAGTTTATGAAGTACGGGTTAACATGACTCACTTCAGATGAAAAGCAAGTATTTTACCCCTCAAAGTTGGGTTCAGACACCAACCTGTTTCTGTTTTTAGGGTAACCTGGACACACTTGACTTGCTCTAAATTCTTGGTTTAAAAGGTGAGAGGTTATCAGCTTCATTAGTCAGAACTCTTTATTCCTTATCATCACTATTGTTTGTTGTTGCTGACACTCCAGGGTTTGTAAATTATCCAAAAAATGTAATCTCCTTTTGACCGAATGTGCAGTCATGCTCACCATTTAAAATCCCACCCCTTTACCCCAGTTGTCTCCCCCTCCATCAGCTTCTGCTGCATTGCTTACCAATTTTCCTGCTTTCTAAAGCTATAAATAATACAAACTTTGCACATTTCTGGTATCTGGTATAAGAAAAGTGTACATTTAAGGGGGGCGCATTTCTGTGAGATGGATCTTTAAGTGTTTATCTGGCTTAAACACAGTTCACTCAGCAGTTACAGAATTTTCAAAATACAGGCGTCAACAGTTTGTTTTTGGCTTAGGGCAATTTAGTCTATCAGACATCATCAATGGTTTACTGAACAAGAGGCATTCATAGAGGTTTGCCAAGGTATTCTTGTCTTGGCCGCCGAAATGCCTTCAAATGGCCCTGGGTGTGAGACAGAGTTTTGAAGGTGATCAGAATTGTATCAAATACATGCTTATAAATTATTGTTGTAGAAAGTTAAAGATCTGTAGTGGGATGAATCTGCCTAGAGCCCTGCACGGGCCTAAAATCTGTGCCCGTGTCCGGCCCGGCCCAAGGGGGTGGAGCCCCAGCCCGACCCGGTCCGAAAAGGTTTTCAGGATTCTCTGGCCCGACCCGAGCCCGACTTTTTTTTAACAACTAAATGAAAACAAAGTGCGTCAATCCTGACCAATGTGTTAAAAGACGTGCAGGATCCGATCGATTTGTTTTCCCCTCGTTTACCGTCACGGAGATGACGGCGCACTGGCTCTGGTGGTAATCAAGTTAAATTTGATCTCTTTCCAACAATTTTCACAAGAAAACAAAACAGTTAAAAGCAGGCTTGTGTTGACCGGATAGTTCCCGTATTTGACCGTTTATTTTGACGGAGAAAGAATAGAAAGAATTACCCCGACGCATGCAGACGAACTGACATTTTATTCGTTACGCACGTCGCAGATGTTGCTAAATCACCCAAGAAAAGATTCCCATCTGAACATCTGAGCTGCTCAGCGCATATGTGCACAGCGAGCTGAAGATGTGGAGATTGGCTTGGAGCGCGCCGCAGAACCAGAGCGCATGCGGGAAGATTCCTCCCACTGAAGCGAGTGTTTTCCAGACCCTGTCTCTCAGAGAGACTTGCCTCTTAGAAAATGTTCCCTGATTATGAAACTTGGGCTGAATAGCGCTTGTTCCTGTCTCCAATGTGGCGACACATCCAGGAGCCGTCTGAGGAGAATCCCAGAATCTCTTCAGCTCAGAAAGCGCCTATGATTACGCACAAGCGTGACCCATCAACCTGGTCTCACAGTAAGACCGGGTTGGGCCTGTTCAGGTTTACGCAGACAATCTTTACATAGAATTGACTTACAGATATAAAATTAGTCCAGTAAAATATAAAGCATTTTATTTAAATGTCCATTCATTATTTTACAAGCACAGAGAGCCGCATCAGAAGGATGGAAGAGCCGTGGGTAGCCGACCCCTGGTATAGCCTATAAAATGACATGTTTTCTCCAGGACCAGAGAAGACGCAAACTCAATACATCTCTTTTATTGTGAGGTAATAATTTCTCCGAGTTTTGCGGTTGCGGGCGGGAGTAGACATGCACGCTGCGGGTGCAGGCGGGAGTGTAACACACGTTGCGGTTGCGGGCGGTAATGGTCAGAAATTCAGCGGGAGCGGGCAAGAGCAGGATGAAGAAAACAGTCCTGCACAGGGCTCTACGGCTGCGTTTAAGTGTTTCAATTTTTTTTTGTGAATTTGATTAAAAATAAAGGTGCCTTGCTTGTGTCCGAGGTAATTACACAGTCGTTGGCCCGAAGCCCGGCCCTCTGGCCGTCGGGCCGGGCCGACCCGAGGACCTAGGGCTTCAGTGCAGGGCTCTAAATCTGACTACAATTTCCTTTTCAAACATTTAGTTTAGTTTTCTTGTTTTTGACTATTTTTCCTGTCTGTCTCTAGTCTTCCTGCTTCTTCTCTCAATCCTACAGATAAACTGCTGCCTGGCTTCATATATTTTGACCTATTGAGTTAGCGACTTTTGAGCTAAGCAGTTCAGAGGGATCTACTGATCGCAAAAGTAACGAAGTGCACGCTGAATGCCAAGGAGGGAATGTCACCGGAGCACAAGGCAGGTGATGCGCTCCACAGCAGCAAAGCCCACAGACGACAAGTTATTGTGGCCGTGTGCAGGATGCAGCTGCCTGGAGCCCATCAGCGCTCTGCCTGGGTTAGGGTCCCCAGAGTCAACATAAATAATGTAATACAAGTAGAACAGGATCTTTTTTCTGGCTCCCCCTGGGTGAGTAAGTTCAGGGCTCCCCTTAGCTCACCTGTAATTCGAACCCTGTTTTTAGGATAAATAAGCGTTGTTCACAAGACAAGATACAATTAGCACAAAATATAACATATCACAACACATGTTCCTGTTTCCTGTTCAGTCGGAGTTCTTAAATCCTAGTTGACGTATCAATCAAATGTGCAGCAGTCTGCTGATGTTTAATCTTCTGCAGTTTTACATAAAAACAGAGCAGCATTTAAATCTTCACCTTTGACAGTGATCTCTGTGGGAAATCAACAAAGACCTGGTCTCAGTGGATCCAGAGTAGTCTGGCTTCTTTCTCTGTCCAACTATGAGCCATCGCAGAAGATGTTTGAGCTCTTTGAGCTGCAAGACAGACAGATTCAACATGACCTGGGTCATTAGGTGAGAGGATTTAGTCAATGTCAACATTTGCACTAGACAGACATGTAGTAGCAACTATTAACCTCTTCAAGTGTAAAGCAGGGGGTTCTGTTGTCATGGAGATTTATCTCTGTAGAACTTTTTCTTTGTCTTTTTTGTTTGGACATCTGAACATTCTTACTGGGACAGAAAAATTGATACTAACTTTATATGACCAGGATTCCTGTGTTTACAGGTTTATACCAACAGCTTTAAAAGCATTTTCAGGCTTTTGTGGTGCTTACATTGCAGCTCACAGCCATGTCAACTACTCTTTATGGCTCTAACTTTCTGATACTCCTGCCTTTTTAGACAAAAATCTTTGCAAATGGAGACGTCTCTGCTACTTCTAAACAATTAAAGCACAAGTATTAAGCAACACTTAAGTTCTCCGTTTCTCCCTCCCATGGACGTTTTTTTTTGGGGGGGGGGGGGGGGCATGTCCCCCCCACTTTTTCCAAAGTCAAGTTTTGACCCCTGCACTTTTTACCATCCAAAAACAATATTACGCTATATTAAATTGACACTGGTTGAGCCCTAGAACCAAGCAGAAAACAACCGTTTGTGATGAACCCTGTTTCCCATTAGAGTACAACCCCCCCCCCCCCCCAAACACTGTATAGGTGTATACCTGTACAATATATAGGTGCATACAGGTGTATGCTGGGGCAGCAGTAGCTCAACAGGTTGCTACTTAACCCACCTTGCCTGCTGGTGGTGGTCAGTGGGGCTGGTGGCACCTGTGCTCGGCAGCCTTGCCCCTGTCAGCACGCTCCAGGGCAGCTGTGGCTACATCGTAGCTCATCACCATCAGTGTGTGTGAATGTGTGTGTGAATGCATGAATGATACACTGTAGTGTAAAGCACTTTGGACTCCTGACTCTGAGAGGCGCTATACAAGTGCAGATCATTTATCATTATCATTCATCATCTATGTTCATACTTGTTAGTTGACCAACATTTCTAAAATTCCTTGTTTGCATTGGTCATAATTGATATTTAAATTTTCTGAGATACTGAATTTGGGACTTTCATTACTTGTCAGTTATAATCATTAAAATGAAAGAAATTAACATTTGAAATAAATCAGTCTGTATGTAATGAATGTTAAAGTTTCACTTTATGAATGGAACCACTGAAACAAATCAATATTATGACCAGCACCCGTAAATAAGGCTCTACACTCACTGGCCACATTATTTGGTACACCTGTCCAACTGCTCGTTAATGCAAATTACTAATCAGTCAACCGAGCTTCAGTATGAGGAAGAAAAGTGATTTGAGTACCTTAAGGCCGATGTCCACACCGACTTCTGACAGTCTGGATCTGCTGGGGGTCTCCACGCAAAGGGTATTGTAGACTCAACAGATTGCGTTGGAAGACTTTATTAACTATCCTAAGCTCATCAAACAAACCTCCAAATTATTTTACATCACAGACTCTACAAATTCTCTCAGATACAAAGAATGGTTTTGCTAAAACATCTAGCTTCCATTACAACATTTCACACATCACATTAAATCACTCCAAATCCATTACACCACATTTCATTATTCACATCTTGTCATGTATAATCATTAGTTTAGGAAAAAGAATTAAATTCCTTTTATAAACTATATACTTGACTCTGTCTGAATTAATACAAAGTCTGTTTATGGTCCTTGAAGGAGCAAAGAACCCTAGAATCTTCTGATTAAACATTCAAAGATCAATCAGGTTGATTTTTCATATTTATATGGACTCATCACATCTTATTGGTCATCATTAATATGTAGTGTCAGTCATCATCACTCTACATTCACTGCACTGGAGTGGTGGCGCCCCTATTTAAAGTAAAGTCTATTCAGGGGTTCTGAAGAGGAGGGTACATTGGATAGTCGAATCTCTGGTTCAGGAGGAACAGTGTGGTTTTCGTCCTGGCTGTGGAACACTGGACCAGCTCTATACCCTGAGGGGGGTCCTGGAGGGTGCGTAGGAGTTTGCCCAACCAATCTAGGCATTTGACCGTGTCCCTCGGTACACTGTTAAAAAAATCCGTAAATTTAGGGGTCCCTTTACCGTGGATTTGCTACGGATTCGCTCCGTTTTGCGAAATACGAAAATTCTGCTGTTGCGCACGCGCATGCGCAACAGCAGAATTTTCTCCCCCTGCCAGAATATTCCGACGCCATTACTTTCAGTGCGGTCAGTGCCTACCTAAATTTCTGCAAGTCACAAGGAAAGTTGGAAACAGGTTGGTTGTGTGGAATGAGAACGGAGTGCCACCTTGTTCCCTCTCGTACATTAAATTGGCCTCGATAGGCAGTTGGAAGTGGTGTGTATGTGAGTGGACGTTTGCTGCTAGCTGCGTTAGCATTAGCATTAGCCAGCCGCCTGCGCTTCGTAAGTACGTCAAAAACCATTTTTCCCTCCCTCTTACATGAAATTTGGTCTCGATAGTCAGTTGGTAGCCGTGTGTGTTTCATGGTAACATTTGAATGTGTGGGTTTTGCGTTATTTTGAAGCGTGGTTTGCCCAACTAAAGTTAGCGTTAGCCCATAAATTGGATGCGCGCGCTTGTGTGTGTGTGTGTGTGTGTGTGTGTGTATTGTTATAGCTCGCCGTGTTACGTTAGCATGCAACTGAACATGGTAATAATTAAAAGGGGTGATAGTTAAGTAGAATCAGATTTCCTTGCAGGAAAAAATTTAAAGCCCAAGGAAAGTGGCCCATGCAGCCCAACGCAGATTACTTATTTGAAGGTACCTGAAAAAATGTGCTTCACTGTGCTGATATAAATTTATTGTTTTCATATTGATTCTGTTCTGATTCTGGCTATCCTTCAATTGGCAAATTCAATCCCTTAAAAATGTTGACTTGTAGCATTTGTGGCTTTAATGCTCGGTCTTCGACTGATTACTTGAAACACTGCCGAACACACAGAAATAATAATAATGTATCTTTTTTATGTGGCCATAGGGATTGCAGAAGGAAGTTTAACACATACAGTAGCCTTGCTGTGCATATGTCACGAGCTCATGTAGACAGAAGGAGCACACAAACATGGAACCGTAATGTGTCTGTACAATTAAGGTGCTTGTTTAATTTTTGCAGCAGTGAATATGATTATCTTAAAACTTTAAAGTGTCATTTGAGTGGTCACATAGATGAGGGTTTGACTGTAACATGTCCCTTTGATGGATGTTCTAAGACATTCAATGTAAAGTCATCCTTTTTAACGCATATTTCCAGATACCATAAAGGGTGGGATGTTACCAAGATAGCCCCAGTTCATATATGTGAACTAACAGAACGGTCTTTCCAAGGTGAAATATCACATGTAGAACCTGAAGAACCTGAAAGTTTTAACATTGATGCAGAACAAAGTGATAATTTCTGCTGTGATCAAGTGAAAGACAACTTCACAGAGAGTCTTGCTCAGTTTTACTTGGGTTTACAGGCAAAATATTTGGTTCCAGCCTCCACAATAACAGAAATAGCAAATGAAATGAGAACTATAAGTGATATTCAACAGGAATATACTGTGGATGCACTAGCCTGTGAACTGGGGCAGTATGGTGTTCCAAAGGAGACTGTAACATCTCTTGGGAATAGTATATACGAGCAGAGCCCTATGCACAAGGCATTACATGAAAAGGGTCATTTAACTACGCAACACAAGAGGCTGAAATATTACAAGTCACACTATGACTATGTTGAACCTGTTGAAGTCTTTCTTGGACGCAATCACAGTGGCCAGAAGAGGCACTATCATTACATCCCAATACTGGAAACCCTCAAAGTAATTCTGAAACAGCAAGGTTTAGATCAGCACAGTCCTAGTTCTAATTCTGAAGATGATGTACTGTGTGATGTCACTGATGGGTGGGCCATCAAATCCAATGCCATGTTTTCCTCAGACCCAGACAGTTTAAAGGTAATGCTCTTTCAGGATGCTTTTGAGGTGGCTAATCCACTCGGATCTGCCAAGACAAAGCATAAAGTATTGGCTGTCTACTTCACACTTGGAAATTTTCATCCACACCAACGATCAACTGTTGATCAGATACAGTTGGCATTACTCTGTGTAGAGAAAGATTGCAAATACTTTGGAATGGATAAGATTTTCAATAAGCTAGTGTCAGACTTGTGTGAGCTGGAGGAAAGGGGCATATCTTTCAATGGAAAAATATATAAAGGCACTGTTGCGTGCATAATGGGCGATAATCTGGGCTCCCACATGATTGGTGGCTTTACAGAAAATTTCAGCACAGCTCAATATTTCTGCAGATACTGTTTGGCAACAAAAAGTGAATTTCAGTCTAACCCTCTCACAGTTTTCACTCATAGAAATCCAGCTGATCATAATGAGACTGTGCGGTTTCTGGAAAGTAACGATGAAGTACACACTCATCACGGTGTTAAATGTGACAGTGTTTTCAACAAACTGTCCAACTTTCATGTGTGTCAGCCAGGCTTACCAGCTTGTTTAGCTCATGATCTGTTTGAGGGGGTAGTAGATTATGATTTGGCATTGTTTTTGCAGTTCTTAATCAGAACACAAAAGTGGTTCAGTTATGAGGTTCTTAATGAAAGAATCAAATCATTTCCTGGTGAAAGCAGCGACAAGCTAAACACTATTCCCACTACAGGAGCCAGGCTTGGAGGACATGCAGCCCAAAACAGGTGGCTTTTGAAATTCTTGCCTGTTTTGGTGCATGACACAATTGAAGATGCTGATAATGAAGTATGGGGACTTGTACTACTTCTGAGGGAGCTTGTTGAATTTGTCTGTGCACCTCGGCTCTCAGAGTTGCAGATTGCTTTCATGAAGGGACTGATTGAACTGTATGTGGAATTGAGGCAAGAGCTGTTTCCAAGAGTTCAACTTAGACCAAAACACCACTATCTGCTTCACTATGCACACTTGACTTTACAATTTGGCCCACTCATATATACTTGGACAATGCGCTTTGAATCAAAACATTCTTATTTTAAAAGGTGCATTAGGGCAAGTAAGAACTTCATAAATGTAACCAAGTCTCTGGCTGAACGGCACCAGTTGCTTCAGGCTTATCAGTCTTGTGGTACCTTGTTTCGTTCCCAGATTCATGTGTCAGACTCAACACGGTTCTATCCAGAGCTCTATGACCAGAACATAAGGACAGTGGTTGGTGAATTTGATTTGAACTCAAGTAACTCAGTTGTCACAGAGAGTGCGCAGGTTAAAGGCACTAAATATGCAAATGGAATGCTGGTCTTACTGAGCTACGCAAAAGGACTGCTGCAGTTAGGACAAATAGCAAGCATTTTTGTAAAAAATGAAACTACTGTCCTACTTTTGCTTCGAGGGAAAACTGCCAGCTGGATACCTGAGCTTGGACTCTATGAACTTGATAAAAATGCTTCTGACCTGTTCAGTTGCCATGATTTGAACAAACTTGTTGATTATCATCCGCTTTATGCTTACCACAGAGGTACTCGGTGGCTCATTCCTCTTAAACACACACCAACATGGAACTTGTGAAAAACTATGTCAAGAAAGCAATGCCATCGCTCAGTAGCGATAAGATGGATACACTCATGGCTAAACTGGAGGAATTAGGAGTTCTCTCTGTAGATGACCTGAGCCTTGTGGACCCGGAGGACATTAAAGACACTCTGCCATTCATTCAGTGCAAAAGATTCGTCAGAGCTGTCAAAGCATTGGAAGCAGGTGAGTTTTTGCCCCTCTGTTTTAATGCAAGTTTTCTGAAACTACAAGGGTTTATTCCAAAAATGCCAAAACAAAGTTGCCATCAGCTGTACATGGCAATAATTTCTCTATAATTGGTTTTCATAATTAGGTCCATTTGTATTCCTGGTTGACCCAAACTGGACATTGAGGACCAATTTATTAATTGATTTGCAACAACTGTGATGTGTTTAATTTATGGAGATGTTTGTCATGTCATCCATAGATTCACAAACTCCACCGCAGTTCACCCGGCCTAGCCCCTCATCAACACCTGAACCACAGAGGTTTCAGCTGCCCTCAACACCACCTGAGACAGCCGACTCCCCATCCCAAGACACATATTCTGTACCATGGCACAAATTTCCCTCAAAAGTCATGGATGAGTTGCGTGAAAAAAAGTACATAATGGGGAAAGACAGACGAGAGATGGTTCGGATCGTCGCTGAAGATTACCTACATAAACACCCAGGAAGACCTGGTAGACAAAAGCTGAGGGAACTCGCCAGTATGATTGTAGGACAATATCCTGCCTCCTTCAAGCTGACAGAGCCGTTTGGAAACAAACCTTTTGCAAAAGATGGTTCTGAAACTCTCTTTCGTCAGCTGGAACACAGAATTGAAAATATGAAGAGGCCACTAAGCTCACTGAAGAGGCAAGCAGGGGGTGAAAATTCGACAAAGAAAAGGCCCAGGAATTCAGATCTGTATGGATGTGTTGCGTGGGATCCAATCATTGAGGGGGCCATGTGTAGAGAAGACCTGCTGTCTAAACGAGATGAGTTGAAACGTGCCTTTCAAACCCAGGATCTTCAGGTGGGTCTGCAATCATCCATTACAGACACAGAAAGCTTTATTAATCCTCAAAGGGATATTTGGTTCCTACAGTCCACCATGTAGACATACAACCATTCACACAGCAATAGTATATAGCAGGAGTAATGCAATGAGGTCTGGGTCCAAGTACAATTTAGGACACCTTGTGAAATTGTAGATCGTCTGTATCACTATGAACATAGTCAATTGAAATTGATACCCTGTTTTATTATTTTAATTGGTTAGTTTGACTAACTGTTCGACTGCTTGTCTAACTGCCTCATATCTTTAGGAGTCATCTGTTCGAAAATTGATGACTGAAACATATCCCATTCAGCGTGAAATCCTCAACGATGATGATACCACTATTGCCGTTGTAAAGGACGAGTGGCCGTTCCTGTTTGAAGTTCCTCACCTGTTTGATCATGCATCTAAACTCCTTGACTTCTCTGTACAAAACAAGCTGGCACAGGTGTGTTGTTATTGTTATTATTATGATTGTGCTGTGCTGCTCCATATGGAGAGAATTTTGTCTTTATTAATCAATCAAAAACAGATTTGCAACCAAAAAGAGAGTTGAGACCAAAAAAGATAAACTGGCAACCAATCAAATAGAATAACTTGGATAAACAATCAAATGGAATAGATTTGAGACCAAAAATCAAGAAGTGACAACCAAAAAAGCAGGACATTTGAGATCAAAACAGAACAGGTTATTTTAATTTTTTTCAAAATTCTCTCCATAGCTCCAAACGAAAATGAGTGTTAGTCTTATGTACTTGTACAAAATTAACACCTTGAACCTTGAACAGGAACTTTCCAAAAAAGAAAAGGGGATCAGTGACTTCCTTGACTACAAAGGGATGAAGACGGGCGAAGGTCCAATACAGCTCATCTGCGGCATTTCAAAATACTTCAAGGAAGACTCTTATAAACTCTTCCACAAAAAAGAGGTAGATGTTGTAGATTTTAAACTGTGTGCAAGATAATTATTTGCATCCAGTGGTGAACCGAGTAACCAACCACAGTAGGAAGTATAGATTCCCCTAATTGTGCTGCTGATATTCTCTATAAACTATTTACATTAATGTTTGTGCATAATGGCTACCTCTGTCTGATGAAGACACTAGCAGATAGTCAATTTGCCAGCAGGTTTGTGTGCACTGGAAACATTCATTCATGTATCGTGTCTGTCACCAAAACAGATCTCTGCAGATCCTGAAGTCAAACTCCCAGTGACCCCATGCATCCTAATCAGAGGTTTGTAGTTAAATCTTTTTTTGTATCCCAGCAAGCTGTTGTTAGCTGTTGTTATAAGCTGTTGTGTCATATTTATTAAAGAAATGTTTTGCTTGCCTTAAAATGTAGGATTTTTTTTTTTTTGTAAGTCGTACATGGTTTTTATCTGTGTTTAAGGTGACCAGCAATTCAAGATTGCTGTTGATGGGTTACTTGTCAATGACCACATCACCTCTCCCATTGTGGCCTTGAGCTACGTCTTCTCCATGTTTTATGTCTGCAACGTCCAATACCCACCGGAGATGGCTTTTACTCTCGAATTCATGCAAAGGTAAGCACTCATTGTTTGGAAATACTTTGTAAATGTGACTTTGCCGTGCCTTTCTGCACCTGACCTGCTTTTTGTCTATCTACACTAAACCCGTTTGTCTGAGATGTACAAGCTCAAAATGTGTCGCCACATGCTGTGAGCTTTTAGATCAGCTGTTATTGGCTTATGATCCCCCTGAATATGGATTTGTTCGGAGATTTTGTAGCTCCCTGTTGAAGACCATTGTTGGAATAAATGTGTCATATCTTTTTAAAGGGCAGGTAACATGCTTCTTGCTTTAAATAGTGTCCTAAGTCAATCAATAACAAAACAAACATAACATGATTCTAGTTGGGAAATGGAGCAAAAACATATTTTTTTCAGAATGGTTTGTTGACACAAAATTCTTTTGAGCTATCTCTTTAAAACCATTAGCACCTGAGACCAGGTTATGTCAGTGGTGGTCAAACCTTTTCATGTCAAAGACACACAAACTGAAATTTATTTGGCTGCAGACCCCAAACTCAAAATATGTTGCTCCAGGGACCATAGTGGACATAGTGGATTCATGCCCAAATGTTAATACTTGTACTGATGTGCAACATGCACTGAATGTGACAGTTTCTCCACTCCATGTCTGAATAACCCCCAGGACAGTCCGTGTTCAAATGTGCTGTTACACCTTTTGATAGGACAATGTCAACTGTGTTTTCTATCCCCTTCTGTGTTCTGTGCATTTATAATATCCCTGCATACACATTGAGGATGCATGCTGTCATGTGTTGGTGATAAGCAGACTTCTCGCTCTTGCAAACATTTCTGTATATGCGCAGTGTGAATGCATGTGTCTTGAAAAGACAAAGGAAGAGATAAGTTTAGCCACTGGCACCAGCACCACAACAACATTGGGTTCTAGACAGATGGTCAATTAGAATGATAGAGAGGTTCACACATAGGGGCATATTGAAGAAAACAATTGTAGGATTTTATTGAACTGCTCCACTCCTGTCAAGCCACACTACACGTGCAAACTTTGTCTGCATATCACTATTGTTTTTTTTTTTCCTCAGAGTTTTCTTTGGGGTCAATCCTGAGCGAGGCTCCAAGGCAGAGAAGAAGGGGAAGAAACTGCACTTCATTCCTCCACAGGTGTGCAAGCTGGTTTCTCAGCTGAAGGAATTTGAATGCAAGCAGAAGGAATCTGAATGGGCCATTTGAGCTGTTCTCAGAGCTCAGAAAATACCTTTTTGGACTGAATGTACACACACACACACACACACACACACACACACACACACACACACACGCAAATCCAAAAACATGGGGTTTGGGAGTCGAAATACAGATTTTTACAGTATTAGGTGAGTTCAGATGTTTTATGCCCACAACACACATGCTGCAGTTTAAAATCCCCCATGTTAAGGGGGAGGGAAGGTGGGTGATATTTGTCATTCCGGTTAAGCTTTTCCTGTCATTGTGGAGTTGGAGGTGTAAGTTTTAATTTTTTTTTTTGTTTTAATTTGTTTTAAGAGTTTTAAAAATCTCTTAATGGCATGTTGCACAGTCATCCTTCTAAGGTCATGGTTGTTATTGCTGCACTGATGTTTTATAGAAAAGTTGTATAATATAATACTTCTAATGTTCTATTTGTTTTTTGTAGAAAGGTCAGCCACTGGTTGCAGAGCTCTGCCTGTCGGTGTGATATGTGGAGTTGGAGGTGCAGGTTTCTGCATCCTCCTGGAGGGGCCTCCTCATTTTGCACTGACAGGTGAGACAGCAACAGCAATGCTGGCAGTTTTATTGTCTTATTTTGTCATTGTCTTTAACAAAACAAGTTGTTATTAATGCCTGTCAGCCTGTGGATGCTAAAAAGTTGCTAGATTTGGCATCTCCCTGACATGGCTGCACTTCTTTGAGAGAACAGCAGGTTTATGTATGTAAAATTAAAGGATAGGGCTGCAACTAACGATTATTTTCATAATCGATTAATCTGTCGATTATTTTTTTGATTAATCGATTAATCGGTTTGTTATTGTTTAGCTATTTAACCTATACATGCATTTCAGTTAAGAAAAAAAAAACATAAGAGAATTGTGCAGTTGACTGCAATCTATTTTATTGCACATGAACACAGTCAGCAGTATAAAATGAGCTAAACAGTGCAAAATATCAGTCCAGAATAATTTTTTAGCATTAGCTGGAAGCCTGCTCCTTCCACCATGGATAGTGGCCTCATGTCTTTTACCAGCATGTTTAGAATAGAGTTTGTAAGTGGTATGAATTGCTGGGGGGTGAGTGTCTTGTTCCCCATGTAGTTGTCCATCGTTGCTTGTTTTTTTTCTGCATAAGAAACACAAATAGACTGAAATAAGTACACATATAAAATAAAGCAGCACACACACTACAACACTAAATCAATATTATATTATTTGAATTAATTAACAATATACTGTGATCATTTATTTTGAGGGTTACGTTCTACAAAATAGCCCGCAACAGGAGATATTCAGAAAAAAAGTCTAATTTTTTTACTATTAAAAAGCTCTAAGTAAGAAGCTCATGAGGTTTTTACTTTGAGTCGGGAGTGTTTAAATTAGCTAGAGAAATGTGAAAAATGATTATTTTGTGTAATACTGTTTAAGAAACATGACAAAAATGTGTTGTGAGGCGTTTTACAGCGTTAGACAGTAAAACAGCCTTTTAATAGTAAAAAAATGACTTTTTCTGAATTTCTCCTGTATTTAAAAATTGAAAGCGTACAACTATGCCGCGTTATATTCACCTGGACACAGCTCATCTGTATATTTTTCACCGCAGAGTTGTGCTTTTTTGAATGAGGAACATAGTTATGGGTTTGTGCCGTTTTTCTCTTAACGAGAACATTCTTATAAACAGACGTGCTAAATTTGGCAAGCGCATGATTCACAACACGGAGGAGATTCACGATTGCATCTAGTCAATCAGAAGTAGAACACCGTAGACTGACGCGGCAAAAAAACATGTTTAACATCCAGTATAACGAACTCAGCTAAAACACTAAGTCCAGCTTGTTTATTTTCTGTTACTTACCGGGCTGGCTCTTCCAAATGACGGCTCACTTGACCGCGGTGCTCTTCCTCCGCTGCATCAGCCCCCACATGTTTTCGTCTCAAATGTTCACTTAGGGACGTCGTGCTTCCGTGCTATGCTAGATGGTTTTTGCATATTTTGCCTTTTAAAGGCATCTAGAGTGAAGTGCTCCCATACTCGTGAGGTTTTTGTCCGGGGTTTCTCTAAAGTTTTGTCGCTTCTATTTTTCTTCCGTATTTCTTGTTCCGCCATCTCTCACAGCAAGATGAGCATCAGTAACGTGATACGTCATGAAAACCGAGGGCACTCATTGGCTCATTTCTTCTTCTACGGCTCCACTGGTAGATCAGTGGCTCATTACTGCCACACACTGGCGGCAAATTTAACAGCTTGTAGCCGATGTCAGATTGTGGTAAAAATAGACTTTATGCGGTAAAATATGATTATTAAACAACTAATCGATGACTAAAAAAGTTGTTAACTATTTTAATAATCGATTATAATCGATTAAATCGATTAGTTGTTTCAGCTCTATTAAAGGAAATAAATAATTGCTGTGATTCAACATTTGTGCTTTATTGATGGTAAACGGTATAGAGAATGGTACAGAATTAAACATTTTAGGATGACTGAAGTGTCCGTAAATGGTATGGATTGAGTACTTAAATAATACGGAATATTCCATTTTAGGTTTGATGGAACTGTCCGTAAATGGTAAAGAAAAAGTCAGGTAAATCTACTGAAATATCTGTTATAGGGTTTACGGAATTGTCTGTGCAACAACGCAGAAATTTATGGAAAATACGGAATTTTCCATTTTCGGTTTGACGGAAATGTCCGTCAATGGTACAGAAAAAGTGCTGGTAAATCTACAGAAATATCCGTTTTAAGGTTTACGGAAGTGCTCGTACAATAACGGAAAAAGTGCTGGTAATTAATTACCAGCACTTTTTCCGTTTTATAACGGAATTTTTTTTAACAGTGTAGTTAGGATGCCTCCTGGCTGCCTGGTGAGGTTTTCCAGACACATCCAACCAGAAAGAGACCTCAAGGGAGACCCAGAACACCCAGGGGGTACAAATGGCACTTTAACATCTAGGCCAGCACAGACTGGACTGGGTAGCTTTTCATCTATTCACATCTAGGTGGCTTTGTATCTTTCTGTGCTCACCCGGTCAGGGTTTCATCCCACATACCAAGGCTCCAACACACTCCCTGCCAACTGGCCGGCTCTAATACATGCATACCATTAGGGAGAGCCTCCAATTGATAGAATATACCAATGGCAGGTTCATGCATGTGCGATTCATCATCATTCTGGATACTGAGAAGTAAATGTCACCCCTGACTAAATCTGTGGTAGCTCTGTCTCTCCTCACTGCTGTGAGGAGTGCACACAAACACACACACACACACACACACACACACACACACACACACACACACACACACACACACACACACAGAAACAGCACTGCCGTGCCTTGAGCTGAACGGCCATCATTTAAGGGAGACACCATGGACCTTTCCATGCGTCTTTTGCCCCACCCCCAGGCTCGGAGATGTCCCCATTCCTGAGAAGTGTGTGTGAACAAATCCTATCAGTGCGGGACCCGGACTGATGCCACCTAGCCCAGTCCACGCTGTCCCAAATGTGAAACTGTCTTTTGTTTCTTGGCTAGCCAGGGAACGCCTTGGGATCCCAAGGAAATGCTGGCCCAAGTGGCTGGTAAGAGGGAATTCTGGTCCTCTCTCCTCAGGCTGCTGCACCTGTGGCCTGACCTTGGACAAGCAGAAGAGAATGGGACTGTAGCCAACCTCCCTGCATGTGGCCGCAGGAGAAAAACTGAAGACAAGTCAAAGAGACACATAATCCAAATGGTAGCAAAAGAGCCCAGAAAAACTTCTAAAGAGATCCAAGCTCTGAACAACAATGTGCTGCGAACCGTACCAGACCTGGCAGTGGAATCAAAGCATTAAATAATTATCTGCTCTTCAGTCAAAAAAAGCCCGTCTAAACAATCAAAAGTCGATGCTAAGGTCTTTTTTAATGAGCTGCTGCCATCTCTGTTTCGCTCGGTTAGTTAGATTACAGGCTTGTTTTGAAGACATAAAAATTGGATGACTCAAAACTTTCTGCTTTTACATCAAGACAAGACTGGAGTTCTCAGCTTTGGACCCAAAATTCAGAAAAGGAAATTGCTTAGTCAATCACCTGACCTGAATGGCATTAAATTAGTCTCCGAGAAAAAAGTAAGGAACTATGGTGTTATCTGTGACCAGGACATGTCATTCAAATGCCACGTTAAACAGGTTTGTAGGATTTCCTTCTTCCACTTCAGGAATATTGCTAAGATTAGACGCATCCTTTCCAGGAGTGATGCTGAAAAGTAGTTCATGCATTTATTACATCAAGACTGGATTACTGTAATTCATTACTCTCAGGAAGTCCACAGAATGTAGTTAAAAGACTTCAGCTTGTCCTCCCATATGTCAACAGCTGATCTTCTTTGAAGAGACAAAAAGTGTGATACACAAGACACAAAGAAATGTTGTTGTTTCATCCTTCATCCAACTTGCTGACTAAAACAATGATTTCACTACTGAAGAAAAAACAAAAATTCAGAACTGCCTAAATAAATGAGAACAGCAACTTGGCATCAGTGTGAAAAGCGTGCATCTGGAGTGTTTGCTGAAGGTGTAATTCTAGCTTTCCTTTTACGTCAGTGGCCACCAGGACTCTGACCATCAGTCACCATCGGCTGAGACGTTCATTCTGGGAGGACAAACAAAGACACCCACTCCAAACACCTTTAGCGGAGACGGTCTTAGTCCACCTTCCACTCTGAAGTCCAGTGGGGAGACCGGCGGGGGCCTTCACACAGGGTCATTGAGGTTGAAATAACACAGCTACTTGACCCTCCCAATAAAACCAAGACTGCCATCCCTCATTTGATCTGCCAGGAGATATCCCATCTGAGCTCTTTGTGAGCCCACTGACAGATGAGTGGTTAGACTCCACTGCATGGATCTTTCTAGCTATCTCTGCAGTTTCTTTCCAGACTAAAACACACACCACAGCAGTATGGGGCGGTATGTTTAGAAACAGATAACTTTATAAGAGTTTAAAACTAAGTCTTTAGAATTTCATTTAAAAAAATGGCAGGGAGAACCCAGACAGAAGCTCTTATAAATACGGAAAATGTTTCCCAGCAAAATGTGGTGACAAAGTTAAATGAAAAATATCACCCCCTTTTTCATTGTTATGAGCATCTAATGTTGACTAAATGCAACTTTTAATTATTTAAATTATTGCTTTAAAATCAACATCTCATATTCTGAGATGCAACTTCATGGAGAACCTGTTCTAACTGGTTTACCTTCATTATTTTAGATCATCGCCCATTCATCAGAATGTAATTATCCTCCTATGTGCAAAGTCTCATGAGCTCTCTTTAATTATCTGCATATTTTAAATGTGGAAAAACACATTTGGAGCATAAAAACTGTGGCCTAGGAATCCAGACCAACTGCATATAGGATGTTTTCCAGGCTACATAAACGGATCAACAGCCGTAACTACCGCTCCATGTTCATGCACTGGCCCATCCCATCCCTGCACCATCACACTGCTCTCTCATTTCCAGGGGCTCAGCTCGGCTCTGAGAGCAACAATCATCTGTCCGATCCTGTTTTATAACTACATGGGAACTGTTTTCTGCACTAACCTTGTCACACCAGTACAGAGACGTGTTAACCAGCGGTCTTAGAAGGTTTCTGTTGCAGGCTCACAGCCATTTATTTCGAGGATGCATGAGTTTTTTGCATAATAGAAAGACAGAAACACTATATTTGTGCATCAATTGTTAGCATATGTTGTCTGCATAAAAGTAGATTTCAATAATTGATTATATATTCTTATGTTTTATGTGCACAGTCTTCCTGTTCAGTGATTAAGACAGGTTGGATCTTTCTGATGGCACTAAATTATTAACACACCATCTTTTAAATAAGTCGCATGTTAAAAGAGCAATGCTCTGAATCAAATATTTCTCTAGGTCACTTTTGATGTCACACTGCAGCAAATATCAGATGTTTTGGCCTCTGACTGTGTTGTTTCTGACTGCTGACTGTTGCATTTAACAAGGCAGCTAGCAGTGTGACTGTGGATGACATGGATTAAATGCATGATGTTATATTTGAGTGGGAATGAGTATTACGTTTTGCACATGTTTGTGTCCACGTGTGATGCACTGGGAGAATCCGGTCTACAGAGAAGCTTCCGTGACAGGATGTGATGGCAGGGGTCGTGGGTCAAAGGTGCCTCCAGGTTTCACATCTGCAGCTTTGCCCAGAATTTACTGACGGCTGTCAAAAGAGGGCAGCCAGCCGCACTCTAATGTGTATTAGCAAGACAAAGGATGAGAAGAGGGGAGCGCAATAAGGAAAGCTTTGATTTCTCTGGGATGTACGGGGTTTGATGAGATCAGCTTTGAATAAACTGGTTCTGCCCATTTGCTCTGAAGTTTAGCAACATCTGAAGACTCTGGTGTTTATTGCAGGAGGCCGACACATAGAACAAAAACAGAAAAAAATGTTTAAAACGAAAAAGAAAATGAGGAAGCTCCCCATGTTGTGTTCAGGAACTCCTGATTTTCCTTGGCTCCTCGAAGCATCACACCCGATTTTGCTCTCTGACTTGGGGAAATAATTCTAGTGTGCTGCTGGATTACGAAGAAAACACTCAGCAGCCAACAGAAAAATGCCCACAACCGCTGTTTTATAATCTCCCTCTGAGGAGACATGAAGGGGAGATATGCCGGCCTTTAAACAGAGCTGATGTATGTTTACAGACATCACAGCACCTAGAGGACTATGATAAGGGTGGCTTTCTCCCTATTTCCTCTCCTCCATCTTGCATGTCCTGTAATAAATACTAAGTGCTCCTATGTGACCCTCACAGTGATAAATAACCCTTAAGCTTAACTACATTTCAAATGGAGGAGTGAGGCCATTATCAGCCTCCAGAGTTTTCTTGACATCCCCAATATGTTATCTGTATGCCCAGGGACTTTTACCAGGCTGGCTGCTCTTTCCGTCTCGCTGATAAGTCCGGAAGAACCCCAAAACTCGGACGAGACGACTGTCTGTCTGCATGTTCCGTTTGTATGCGGCTGTTGCTCTGGAAGCAGCACATTTGTATTTTGATTCTTATTTGTAAGCATTTGTGTACAAACCTGGAAATATCATAGCTGCACTTTGATGTATGATGGTAGGAACCTAAAAGATGATAAAACTGAAAGTGTCTGCAGCCTGACAATGACCTGATTTGCAATTTGAAATCTACAACATGTTTTGTTAATCAGCTGACGGGAGAGTGAGGCCGTGAGTTTGTCATTTAACCTTTTCACGATGATCTAATTTTCATTATTATTAAGGAATAACGCTCTAGCCTAGAAATCTAGACTATTCACATACATAGAATGGCTTGTCAGGTTAATAACCACCAACATTCCAAGAACTTTTAATTCAGTTTATTTCTGTAGCGCCAAATCACGAAAAGAGTCGTCTCAGGGACCTTCACACAGTAAACATTCCAGCACAGGTCAGGGGCCTCATTTATCGAGCTTGCTAACGCACAAAACGGGGTCGGAAAACTGCGTAAGCAACTTTCTACACAAACTTTGAGATTTATGAAAGAAAACTTAGCGGAAAAATGTGCACAGCTTTAGGTTGAATAAGGACCTGGCTTACGCACCTGCAGTGCTGCTGCTGAGAAGGGTAAAATTATGAAATCCTGCAGCATTATCACTTGTACTGCTTCGTTTTCACACAGAACAAGACCCCCACACGCACACGCACGCACACACACACACACACGCACACACACACACACATGCACGCACACACACACACACACACACATGCACGCGAGCACACATACACACACACACACACACACATGCACGTGAGCACACACACACACACACGCACATGCACGCGAGCACACATACACACACACACACACACACATGCACGCGAGCACACACACACACACACACACACACATGCACGTGAGCACACACACACACACACATGCACGCGAGCACACACACACACACACACACACATGCACGTGAGCACACACACACACACATGCACGCGAGCACACATACACACACACACACACACACATGCAAGCGAGCACACACACACACTGTGTGCCAGCTGATTTGACATTTCATCTACATGAATAATATTGTGTCAGACTGGAGGGTGAAAAGGAATTTGACAGAATTCACCAAATGCTCATTTTAAGTAAGAAAATATTTAGGAGACTTATTTTGAGAAGTCATTCAAACAAGATTCTACCAGGATTTTAAAAGGAACTCGAGTATTCAGAGGGCTATGGCAAGAGGATGTGTAACATTTCTTGTCTCTACCAGCAGATGAAAGGCTCATCTGCGCAAATTGTTTAAACATTTACAGAAGTTCCTTTTTGTCATTTTACTGAACTGTGCCTTTCAGTAATGCTAATTTCTGCATGGAAGAGCCACAAAAGCAGGTGTCTGTGGCCAAATTGTTGTGGCAGATGACTGTCAGCCGGAGGGATGCTGGTTCAAACCCGGCTGCCCTCAGCACTAGTGCCCTCTTTTGTAAATGAAACAGATCAACTCCCAGAGATCTAGAATTTCCAAGCATCTTTAAAAGCATCACGATTTAAAAATGAGTTGCAGTCGCCACCTATCGGTGATGAAGGGTTATACAGTCAAAGTGTATCAGAATAATGTGGTAAAATAAGACTTTAAATTGAATTAAAATATATCGTCTTCCACTCAGAATCAAATTCTTACAGCTGTTTGTGAACAAATCTGCTGCAGACAGAAACAATTTAACCTCCGCTCATTCAGCATCAACACAAAGGCACAGGCTCAGACCTGCGCTGATGTTCAATGTGAAACTGGGACCTTAATCCCATGATAAAAACTGTATTTGTGTGAGAATCTGCTGAGGATTTACCCAACCACTCATCTGTTTCTGTCAAAACAGTCAAAAAAAGGTCCACATTTTCCTTACAGATGCTGCTGGACGTTCCTTGTAAACCACATAAAACTTGTTGTCTTGGATTTTCAAACTGTCAGCTGAAATAATGTCAGTCTGCACATCTGGTGCCAGATTTGAAGCTTTTCATAAATGTGTCCTCAAAGTGTAGCCAGATGGTGCAGTTTGCATCTCCCAAGGTGTGCTCCTTCACCATTCTTATGCTACATGCAAACTTCAGACGAGTCACTCTTTGAACAAATTAAATCATCAGTTCCAGATGTGTTGGGACATCTTATCCTGTGTTTAGATAGTGTGACATTATTCAACAAAATATAGATCTTGTTAAAGTATCTGATGGTTTTGTAGCAGATGTTTTACTGACATGTCTCCCTTTCTCTGCATGGAAGTGATTAAACCCTTGCTGTTTTATGTGCCACAGCACCACCATGTGGAGGGGTGAGGTCACTACAACAAAGATGTTATTTAAATTCTGATTAAGTAAATTGGAAAAACAAAGGCCTCCAAAATAACCTAATAAGCGTGTGGCAGGGCCAGATTAAGACTTTGTTGTACCCTGGGCAACAATATTCAAGGGCCCCATCATCACGACCCAAGGATCACCATAATATGGTCACATACAGAATATTTTGCTGTAATAGTGCTGTAAAAGTGTGTGAATGTGTGTGTGAATGGGTGAATGACTGATTGTGTTGTAAAGCGCCTTGGGGGGTTCCAGGACTCTAGAAGGCGCTATATCAAATACAGGCCATTTAATATGCAGTAAATATACTGAATACTCGAAATTCTAACTGTCATCAGGTGTATTTTGATTTACAAATATTTAAATGCTCATAGAACTACAAATGCACTGCTATGAACCCTATCAAAGACATCCACTCACATATGATGCTATGAAAACAAAACACATCAGCATCTGTATAATCTGGTAAAATTGACCCATAACATTGGGTCAAAATGAATAAATAAGCAACCACTTTGAAACCATCATTTATTTAACAACACTTATTCCCAATAGAAATGTACTGAACTAATAGAGCTACCACAGAAGACCACAGACAACACATCAAGAAACATTATGGTCCTCAGCTCATTTTAAGCAGAAATCACACTGACATGGTGACCCTGTCACCTCAGAAATCAACAAGGCAATCAAGTTATTAGTCCAACACAAACGATTTAAATCTGCCAGTTATCCTTCCACAACAAGTTTCACCATTTTCATAAAGCTCGCACCTCAAGGAACAAATAAACAAAATGCAGCATCACTATTATCTGCTCATTAACATTTTGATCCTAAGCTCATTTGAACTTGTTTTAAAATAGAACAACATGTCACAGCACAAATAACCAGTTAAACATTTTAGTGCTACACAAACATTTAGACATCTGGACTTTGTGCAAACTGGTGTATAACATCTTCAAAATCAAAGCCACCAACAAGTTCATGTCCAATAGCTACAACAGTGAGTGCAGAGCTGCATCTGTGACACAATTTCTCTGTAGAAGACAAGATAAAAATACTACAAAACCTGGCAAAACACAATTTTTATCCAAAATAATCAGGAAGTGCATGTTTGCTTTCATTTGGCATCTTATACTGGCTTTTTTCTGGATTTTGACTGTGCAAACTGGTGTTCAATATCTTCAAAATCAAGGCCACTAACAAGTTCATGTTCAATGGCTAAGAGAGAAGGTGCAGAGAGCCGAGTCTGTGACATTGTGGTCCTCAGCTCATTTTTTACCCGTTTCAAAACAGAAAATGACCTCTCACCCTCACAGTTAGACACAGGTAAGGTTAAAAACAATCTTAGTGCAACATAAACATTCGGAAATGTTGTCTTAAGTCCATGTCTGTCAAGAGCTTGCAGCAGCTGTACAGGTGAAGTCTCATGCTGTACAAAGTGCTTGAACTGAATAAGTTCATCTGACAAGGAACTATCCAGATCTGTTGGATAAGTCGAGCTCAGCTTAGCAGCTCTTCCACGCACATCACAATCATCACAGTCCTTCTCAAATAAAACCCCAAAGAGTTCACACACACGTGTGTGTAGGCTTCTATGCGTTTGGATAAGCATGAATAAAGTCTGTCGATAATGACGTAATATGTTTCAACTTTAAATTTCTGACTGCTGTCATTAAAAGCTACTTCACTGTCATCAGCAGACTCATCTGCAAATCTCTTTCTTTTTCTCACACGTTGAGTGTCGAACTGGCAGTTTTGTGTCACACTGACTGCGCGTGCTGACTCTTCCAGCTCTGAAAACTCTTCTCGTAGATTGCAGACATATGAAAGCAGTGAGCGCAAAAGGCCAAGAGCAGTAGCTAAATCCATGTCACTTTTTTAGATTTGGTCACTTGTTGCCTTAAACCTATGCAGTACCCGGTCCCACATCATAGTCATCATTACCGTCTCCAGTTTATCAAGTTTTGAGACCAATGCAGCAGCTTCGAGTTTAGTTTGTGTTTTCTCATCACAGTCTAAAGATATGTTGGCTAATATATCTCTAACTGACCTGTAATTGACTTTGAGAGCTTTTGTGGAGTCTGCTCTGCAGTTCCATCGGGTGGTGCTGAGGGATTTAAAAGTGTATTTAATGTTATGTTCGCTGTCATTGAAAACTGTATTCCAGCGATGTGTTGATGCACTACAAAATCTATACAGAGACTGCAGCAGTTCAAAAAAAGACTTAACCTCCTCACAGCAGTTATCAACGCAGTTAACACCTACGAGGTTCCGAGAATGGGCAGCACACGGTGTATAATGAATTGGCGGGTTTTCTTTTTTCAAATGCGCCTGGAGCCCGCTGTATTTGCCAGCCATGTTGCTAGCATTATCGTAGCTTTGGCCACACAGTTTGACAAGTCTAACCCCAAATGACGCACCATTTCAATCACAGATTCAGCTAGGCTGACACCTGTGTGGCTGTGGATGGGCTCAAACCCGAGGAATCTTTCCACTACTCTGCCATCTGCACTGACAAAACGAAAAACAAATGTGAGCTGATCTACATGTGCTAAATCTGGTGCTGAATCAACGATTACAGAGAAATATTTTGCACGTTTGAGTTCCTCTGCAATCACTTGCTTAGTTTTTTCACCCATTAATGAAATAAATTCTTCACACACAGTTGATGACAAGTAAGATGGCTTACCTCTACCCTTATTGCCATGTTTCTCAAGGTGCTCTTTTAAAAAGGGGTCAAACTCTGCTATGAGTTCAGTCCCAAACCGTTCCCATTGTGCGCAGAGCCCAGCAGTTCGTTGTCCCCTCGCTCCCAAAAATTTGACAACAGCCCCCACACGTCTGAGGACTTCCTTCCAGTACTGCTGTTCTGACTCACACTGTCGGGCAAGAGAAGCGTCCACTCGGCATGCATATTTAGATCTGTGCAATAAAGACAGCATGTTTTGTCTATGTTCTGGACTCTTTTCGTGATCACTAACCCTCTCTGGATGTTTCCAATCACAGAATCCGCTGATGAATGCATGCTTCTGGGATGACAGAAGTTTGCAGGCATAACAATAAACTGATCCAGTTGATGGCGAGTAAAGAAGCCATTCTCTTGGCACAATTTGATTGTTTGGAAGCCGGCAGTGAAGCAAATCATTGGTGAGGGAGCGTGTTCTACTTCCAAGTCCGGACTCCCTTACCGATGCAGGATACTTGGCGGCCCGGTTCTGGAAAGCTGCAGGCCCTCGGTAAATCGCTTCTTCCCGTAGCCGCTCTGTAACGGCCCCCCACAGTGCAGGATCCCGTGGGAGTAGAGGCGTTGAGATGCAGGGGTTGCTCCCAGACTCGATAAGCAACTCCGGTGGCGGCGAAACTAGAGACCCGCCATCACCGCTTTCCTCAGCGATCAGACTCGCTGCCTCTGGTTTGTTGCTTGAAGTTGCTGCTGCTGGCTCTTTGCTCTCCGGGCGGTAAGCGTAAGCTGGTGCTGGCGGTGTAGAAAAGCCCTGGATAGCTGAGTCCTCGTCGTTGACGGAAGCTGACTTAACAGCAGTAAAGAAGTTACCTATTTTAGGTATATACTTTAAGTTTTCTGCGTTTCTGATGCCCTTTTCCTTTTTTAATTTCCGTTTCGCGCCACTTAGCTTCTCCATGTCTGATAATTTTTTTTCAGTTATAGCAACGCCTGACGTCACGTAACCCGCTCGGCGTAACCTTTGACCCACCTCGTGTGGACTGACCAATGAGGAGAGAGGGTCTTAACTTGAGGCCCTCTCCTCATTGGTCAGTCTGCATGAGGCTGACTCTCAACCGTTCTCAACTGACGTTCAAAGTCACAGGCAGCAGAGCGTCCGTGCAGCGCAAAAGCCCGGTGGACGGTTTGTTTAATATAAAGCGGGAGATTACAGATACAGTATTTTGCTCCTTGCTGCCCTGGGCCAGGGCCCTTTAGAGTTCGTGGGCCCTGGGCAATTGCCCGGTTGCCTGTATGGTTAATCCGGCCTTGGCGTGTGGTGCAACAGAAGCTGCTCCTAACACAAGAACAAAATGGCGCAAGACTCATCTAAACATGTTTATTCATAATACTGACAAAAATGTTATTTTTGTACACAAGCAAAAGAAATACAGGCCATGACACACTTGCAGCACACATTAGCATAAATGATTCAAAACTAGTAAATTCAAGGGAAAGAAGCACCATTTTCAACATTTTTCATTTGGAATATCAAGTATAATAAAAAAACTTCATGAGTTTGTTAACACTTTTTTCAGAGTTTTCTCATTTCCTTACATAAAAACACATCATCTAATTAAGGCACACTGTTAAAAGCATTTGATGTAAAAAAGACAAACAAACAAAACAAAGAAACAGGAAGCGTGATCCTCTTGAAGCGACATCTCTTTGGTACAGCTGCATGATTGGTGAGTGACGTTAAATGAGCATAGCAATGTTAACTTGACAACACTATGTACACAATGTATGTAAAACTGTTATAAATATGTCTTAAAACCACAGACACTATGTACATCTTCATACTGAAGGAAGGCAGAGTTGCTTTTGTGTCACACACAACGGATACATGGACCAGATGTTGTGGAAATTCATTTCTGAAATTCAAATGAGTGTGATTCTTTCAGCCTGTGATGGGAAAACAAGGAGTTGTTAGGATGTGAGTCTGTGGGTGCAGTAGGCAAAGTGTGGTGTTGTGGTAGGGGGCCTCCTGATCCGCCACCTCTGCTCCTGCTCTCATTCTTTCTTCCTCAGAACGATATAAATGAGAGCGCTGGCGAGGCACAGAGGGAACGCCACCCAGGCCAGCACATAGGCGTAGCCAAACTGAGCATTCGGGCTCATCACGGTGTAAATGATCGCCCCGCACATCACAAACACGCCTAAAGAAAAAGAAAAAGGGTCTCATTTCTCTTCCTCTCAGGGTGTGACCCACTCAGTGGTGAAGTCATACTCACTCGCCAAGATCTGGAAGATGGAGGTGAAGAAGAAGCGTCCGCCCTTCATCAGTCTGAACAGCTGATACAGGAAGGCAACGAGGGAGCAGAAGCAGAAGAGCACCGACAGGATCATGAGGGCTTGGACTGCTTGGATCCAGTCTGATTGGAAGTGCAGGAACATTTAAGCTCATTCACGACTTTTCCACTGGAAAGAAAACATATTTTCTGGAATGAAGACAAACCTTCACTGCTGGCTGGCTTGCAGTGGTGGCTGTCATCATTGCTCACGCAGGTATACCATAGATCAGTGCTCCCTTTCCCAGTTACAGACCAGGCCTGGAAAACATAACAGAATGGTGACTTCAGCCCTTTTGCATTCTCCCAAAAAGAATTAGGAACATTTCGTAACTCCCATTCCCTCTAATTTACAACAAACCCAGTAAAAATAGATGCATGCGTACACTGGCAGCTGTAGACACGATGAGGAGGATGAGAATGACTACGTGCAAGATGAGCACTCCACACAGGATGAGCAGCATCGTGAAGAAGTTCTGGAGAAAGAAAACATGGTTAAATCCACCTGAGTGTCCCCTGTTTCTCCTCCAGAGGGCGCTGTTTCCTCACTTGTAGACCGACCACAATGTTTACTTCAGTGTGAAAGTATCCCATTACAAAGAAAAAGAACCGTGGAAGAAACTCAACGTTGTCCAAAATGAATCGAAGAGAGCCCGTGCGTAGTTCGGTCTGCCTTCAGACAGTAAACTAAACTATCTTCGGCCAAGATCGTGTGGTTTTAATAATAATGGCTCAAGTTAAACTGAGGCAGCCTAAGTTAAAGCGTGCTGCTGCAAAAGAAAACCAACCCGAGGAGAAACAGTCCCGCTACATGCATCCATGTAAAACCTCGTGTGGTTCCTTAAAAACAAACAACCAACAACCAGGAAGGTCAACTTTAAATCCGCTTGATTGGTTTTTGCTTTTCTTTCTTACGCAGCTACACCCAGCGTGTGTAATCCACGTCCTGCCGCTCAACTAAGAAGTTTACAAAAGCCAAGATTAGCAATAAAACAACTAAATGTTCCGAGAAGTTAGTCCAACTTACAAAAGGTAAAGCAAGAGCTCGTGAGAAAAGGGCGTGTTGAAGAGAAGTGAAGACTCGGGGCGCTCCTCTCTGCTCCTCTTGACTCCTGTTACTATTCCAGATGTGGCTCAGCAGCTGCAGCAGGCTGTTTCCCCGCCTGAGAACACCGCCCTGCAGGCTCTCCTCCCCCTCAGCCTTTCACTGCAGCAGCTGCATGGGTCTGGAGCAACGCAGACGGTGTAGTTGAGCTTTTACATATAATCATATTTATCATATTTATCAGTGACACAACGCATGAAGAATTAAGATGATTTCTGGCAGCGAATTCCACCATTGTGTCATTCTTTTGTTTGCGCGTGCGCGCGCGCACACACACACACACACACACACACACACACACACACAAACAAACAAACACACCCTGGTGGTGATGAGCTACATTGTGGCCACATCTGTCCAGGGGTGCACTGACAGAGGAGAGGGCACCACGGGTCCCTCTGACCACCACCAGCAGGCAAAGAGGGTTAAGTGTCTTGCCCAAGGACACAACAGCAACCGATAGGCTCAAACCCGCAGCTCTCTGGTTACGGCACGGGCACTTAAAGGAGTTGTTTACTTCTTCCATCAATACACTTGAAGTGGTCTCTAGAAGGAATGGATGCCTGCAAATAGTTGAGAAAAATAAACCGGTGCACCATTTCTCTGATGATGCCCACATCCAGTGTTGGGAGTAACGGTGTTTAAGTATAACGACGTTACTAACGGCGTTCTTTTTTAGGTAACGGAATAACCTAATTAAGTACTTTTCCCACTGTTGCAACGCCTTTACCTTACTGGGGACGGAAGGTTGTGCGTTACTATGTGCTTGTCGAACATTGAGCAACAGTGTGAGATTAAGGTGTTAATAAAAATGGTGGAAAAGGTAAAATTACAGGGGAACTAGGAAGTTTTGGTTTGCCTTTAGCACCCCCTAGTGTCCATTTGTAGAACCAAAACCAAAACCTGTCTCCTTGCTGTGCTTTTATCTTTTTATCATGTTTCTTAAACATTCATTTATTTTTATTATTATTGTGAAGTGCCTCATGATTTTAATCTTTAGAGGTTTTAGCATTTACCCGGGCTACCTTTGTCTAACACTGATACATTTTGGTGACAGTGTGCAAAATCAGAAGAAAGTAAGAGTAGGGAGCGAGTAAATACCTCTTTAACAACAACAGAGATCTCTTCACACTAAATTGTTTATTCTCCTCTCCAGAGGACATTCAGCATGACTTCATCACATTACTCACAAAGTAAAAAAAGGACTATGAACCCTATTTAACTCAGACGAGCTAAACCAAGATCTGCTGGCAAAGCCACATGTCCAACTGCGTTCTGGTGTGTGCTGCACGGTTGTGTTTGCCTATGAATGGGCCAGCCCTCCAGAGGCCGTGTGGAATGCCCAGAATGCCTGTGTGTGTGAGGCGGGCCCCCTGTTTACTCCCGTGTCTGTGGAGGGTAGGGAGAGCTTGTGCAGTGCCAGATGGAGCCAGCGCTGCACAATGTTTCTGTCATGCTAAACCGATGGAACGGCTCTGCATCTCCAAGCAAACAAGACGTAAGGATGAGTGACAAAGACTGGCGGCTCGGCATCCCTCATTACAACATGGTCCGGGGCCGTTTACCTCCCAACCAAACCAAAAGGAAAATAAGACAGCAGTGATACAAAGAGCAAGCAACATGTTAGTGTTCTGAAAGTCAGCCGCAACCCCAATGTGATGCTGATCAGCTGCTGCAGTTAGTAAACCAAGCCTGTGCCTCTTCCTCGCTCGCCCTTGTAGACTTTGGCTCATCAGACAGATTCCTGCGGTCAGCGTTTGCAAACACTCAAAGGAGTGAAGTGTCGGCTGCCGCCCCGGTCCTCTGCGAGCTGCCAGGTGAAGCAGTGATGTGTGTGCTGGCAGAGCTGGATGGGTCAAAAAGGAGTTCTCTATTATTACCCAACCACTCAGTGCTGCTGTTCATGGAGATGCAAATGAAAGTAGGCAGTCAAGGAGGGAGGTGTGCCAGGAGTGGCTAAAGACCAATCAGCTAGCTGGAGCAGGTGTAGGTGCAGCATACTGATGTCGCTCCTCCGTGCTGCAGAAGATGAGGCTTGTGCAGCACGAAACACCAAACCAGTTCAAACAAGTTCAATGAATTTTGCTTCATTGTTGCTGATTTTGTTGCAAATGTTGAAAATGCAGAACTTTTCATGCTCTCTTTACCAAGTAATTTAATCATCTGTGAGACGACAATGAGCACACTACCGCACTGCTCATTTCAATAACGTTTGCTAAACATGTTCATCTTGCTTCCATAGTGAATTACTACTCACACTTTTGTAATGAATATTGGAAAACCTCAATTTTGTGCCAGAAAAAAGGAGTTATTAGGACAAGATGTTGTCAGCGTGAGACGGATGTCCCTGCTCACTCGGCGCAGCGGTGACGACTTGTAATCTTTGTGACATGGCTGGTAGCACAGCGGAGCCGTCCAAAACCAATCTTGCCCCAAAGCCATTAAAGAAAAATCACAGCCCTACTTCAAAACGAGGGATTACAAAGCAGACAGGGCAAACAAAGGGATTGTGTTCAGGCTGCAGCTGAAACGTAAACCCAGTCAGATTTGCAGACGCTATGACGTTTATTTTACTTGTGGACCAAAGTGAGCCACAGTTTAGTTTGAACGTTACCTTGAACCAAGCAGCTGATCAAAAACCAAACCACAGCAACGGTCCATCATGTTGGATCTACTTCATATGGTTGAAGGTGCTAAATGAAGTCTGATGTAAGTTTTCAGAAATGTTCTTGATAGATTTGCAGATTTAATGTTAGACATTAGCTTTTAGACCTAAATCTGCAGTGTGACAGAACGCGTCATTCACTCCAGCAGCACAAGGCCGAGCTGGGTCCAGTTCATCTCTAGCAAACGTGGGAGTGACAGGAGAGTGGGGAGAACGGGGATTCGGGTGTACAGCGCCGCCCTGGACTGCCTGAAGGATGTCACAGTTGGACAGCTTGACAGGCAGAAGTAACGTATGGGATTAAAAAGCAACAATCCTTCAGTTAAGGAACCAAAACAAGAAAGAAACCGACCCTGGCCAGATGTGGAAGAGGTCCAGCCACATCCAACACCATCAGGTCTCCACAGCCAGGAGACCGTTGAGAATGGACACAACGTTTCACACTGTTTACTGTAGATGAACCCCAGAAATGGGATGCAGTCAGCGTAAAGAGAAAAGGCAGATGGTTTCTCTTATTTCCTGGGTGTGAGCGATGCTTTTCTCCTGCCGCCCCTACCTCAGGGCTGAGCTGTGCTAAAGCTGCTGCTTGGGTTTCACAAGGTTGAAACCATCAGACCATGCAGGAGGAGCAGGGGAGTGTTTGAAAGTGCAATGTGTTAAATGCAGATGAACACGTTATTTTCTGCATCTTTCAATCGGGAACAAAGCCTTTATGTGGTCCTGAGGAGGCTGACGGTAGCTGTAAAGCTTCACATTCTGCTGGTCTGAAAAAGCACCACACTAACTCGTTGCTGCCGAGTCTCACCTCCCTCATTTTAAAAGTACACAAAAAGCCACGCCTAAGGACTCCGTTTGCAGAACACCAACGGGTAAAGGAAGACAAAAGAGTGAAGGATTTGTGTTTCCTCTCCTTCAGATCTGTGAAAACACAAGAAATAAATCACTCATACGAGGGATTCTCAACATGTGCTAATCGTTACGCTCTGGCTTCCTGTTGAAATTGATGTCATAAGCACGCGCATCCCAACAGGCGTCATCGGTATACAAACTGTTGCTTGGATTCAGAGCGACGCTGGCCTCAGGGGATCGGAACGAAGCAGATAAATAATCTTTGAGAGGATTTAATGCCAGTCGCCGTGCTCTCACTGCTCTGTTATCTGTTGCTAAGTCTCTAAAGTTGGATCTGGTACATTCTCTACTAGCTGGGATTAATCGTGATCAACAAGTTGGGTCTGAGATTTAGTTATTTGGAAAATCTACAGAGAAATCTCCCCACTGCTTTCTGGAACGAGGACCTTATCGCACGTTCTCTCATTCTTCTTCCTGCACTATCTTATCCAAGTGCTCCTTCCTCTTTTCACAGCCTTCCCGTTAGCAGACCACAGAACAGTGTCTGGCAGCATTTGTGTTCTGTCCTAAAACACGAGCAGTCCTTTGTAGACAAAGGTGACTCGGACAGGATATTAGCTCACTTTGAAGCTAGTCTCTGATAACCTGAAGTCCTTCTAGAGGTTTTTACAGATGGTTACACTTCACCGACTTCCATTAGACCGGAGTGTGAAAGCTGCAGTGCTCTTAAGGTTTAGGGGTCAGATCAGAAATGCGATCTACCTTCCTCGTGCATTTAAAATAAACTTTGTTTTATCTCTCGTCTAGATCAAACTACTCACTGCAGAGGTTATGAGTCATCTGAAATCTGAAACCAAGCAATTGTATTCACAACAGTGTTTGGGTTTGCTTTCAGTTTTTTCCCTTAGGAGTGTCTCAGATGAAATGCTGGAAGATGTGGTGACACACACGTGATACACTGGTCGCGCCTGGTGACCGGGCACAGGCCGGCCAAGGAAAGCTGGCCTCGCTGCAAAGCCTGGCTCAAATCAGAGAAGTGTGTTTTTATTTGTCGGCATCAGTTTGGACTGCAGCCCAGCATGGCCACTCACGCGGGCTCCATGCCAAACCCACAGACAGCTCCTCTCAGTGGTGGAGTGAAGGAAGAAGTGAGGGTGGCCATAGTTACAGAGGCAGCAGCAGATGATTTATTTATTTGTTGCTCTGGCATCTCGTCCTGATCCTTCACCTTGGTTTCAAAGATAAAATGTCAACTTTTTCTTGTGTTTTCTTCACACTGAATGTTTCTGGTTGTTTGTGTTCATTCTACCTAAAATTTCACATCTATGTTTGTCTAAAAGTTCAGAATGGAAGGAAAATCCCTTAATTATTAACAAATTTGACGAGCCAACCTCTACCAATTAAAACATAACAAACACATCACTGCTGCGCTCCTTGTTTCACATCCTCGCTCTCCTGCTATCTTGTCCAAGGAACACATAGATCTGAGCTCTCCGTGTCTCCTTTCCAGATGTCAGGTCAAATATGCCAGACGCGATCTCCCTGAAATGTTTATGCTGCTTTGTTCAAGGACGTTACACCAGCAGGATAACACACACACACACAC